TTCAAACTACCCACTTTACATTCATGATAAGAACGGAATGACAAAACACTACTATAAACCTATCTTATGTATAAAGGGTTTTCCTGCCATGAGTAGAGGTCTTTCACAAGAATAATATGTTATGAAAAGAAAGTGAAAGATCATAAATAAAGGTAACTAATTTCCAGACTAACCACAGAGGATATTACTTTCTCCAAATGTCTGGGCCACTGAGTACCATGAGGACCACTCAGTGAGTTTGAAAAAGTGAAGTATCCTATTACATAATTAAAAAGTGGGGGGGAAAATGCCATATCAAAAAGATAATAAGCAAAAAATCCAAAGTGAAGTAAAGAAATCAGATTTGTAAAAAAAACAGATATCTTATAATTCTGAAAAGAATATATATGTACACAAAAAATGTAACCATATACAAATTACAAGTTCATCCATACATTAGACTTTAGCAATCTAGCATGGATGATGATGATGACGATGATGAATAATATATAACATAATAACTATAAATGACATTTCTATGACTATAAATATCTTGCTTCTGTTTCTGTTTTTCAATATTCTGTATTTGGAATATGAAGCTGATTCTGGAAAGATGAGTCTAGTTACCTTGGGGTTAAAAAATCTTTATAATAGAGTAAGTATGTATCGATTCAGAGTGATATACTGTGATTTCCTGATACATTAGCACCAGCTGTTACCACACATTGTTGCTCTGAATAGCTATCAAACTTTTCTGTAAACTGCTTATGCAGTATGTGTTTCCTGACTATATCCTGGAGTTGTTCATAAAACTGAAACAACAATTATAATTCTCTCCAACTCAATGTCCTGTTTTTATATGTTATGCTTTACCTAGCTGATGTGATGGCCTAAGGAGTCAAATCACTTCATGGGTCAAATAGTATTTGTATAACCAATAATCAAACTGAATCTTAATATGCTGAAAATAATGCAAAATAGGTGTAACACCATAACTGTATGAATTACAGTGGAAGACTTTTGTCACCCACTCTCGTTAAAGTATTTTCTTTCATCCTTTTTTCACAATATATATACATCATATACACATCATTTCACATAATACTGCTACTTCACTCATATCAACACATAAAACCATCATAATTGTGCAAGGCCTGCATCCACTCCAGCTGCAATGAAAACACTCATTGCGTAATGCCCAAATATATGCATATCATTATTTATCAATAAATAAGCCAAGCTTCTCTGTCAGGTTCCCTGACATTCTTCTATCCACCTAGTCTAAATGTCTTCTGTTACTTGTTATCTTAGACCTTCCTCCTTCTGTCTTAGATTTGTTTATAAGTCATTGCTAATATGCAATGCATAAGACATAAAATTCAGACCCCCTTTGAACAGACTACCTTAGAGTAAATACCTGAATACTTCCTAGCCAGCCTCCCATACATTGACTCTTATACTTCTCTCACAAAATAAAATCAATCTAGAAAGTTGTCTCCTGCACCTTACAATCTTGCTAGACCTCAATACTTCCACTGGACTCTGCCCCAATCTAGGAAATTCATTCAACATATCTGCTAAGTCTACAATGGCTAATCCTGTAAACTTTTTTCTATCTCTGAAACCTTTCATTGTTGGTGAATTTGACTATGGTGTTGCAAAAACTAACAAAACTCTGCTTCTAGCAGAGTTTTGTTTGAGGATATTTTGAGCCAAGACAATTTGAATTAAATTTGTTTCCTAGTTAAATTTCCATGTCACTATTTGTTTGCCTTTATCTGTATACATATATTTTCTTCATAACACAGATTACAGTGGCATGTTTTATGCTAATAAAACACACTGTTATGGGTGACAGAAATTAAAACAATGCATAAACTATCAACCATGCACTGTCTGGCCTGCCCAGGCAGTCTGGGAGCTGTGAGTATGAAAACAGAATCTTACTGTGTTTGTGAAATTGATGCTTGCAATATTAAGTCTATCTCAGCTCCATCATAAAGGTATGATGCACACCTACATTACTAAGTACAGAAAGAAATGCAATTTACACAATAAAACATTACCACAATTATAACTAAAACAGACAAATCAAATAAATAAGGATAAAGTAGGAAGTAAAGTTTTCAAAATATGCAGGCTGAGAACTATGGTTCTCAGACAGGTACTGACTCAGTACAGTATAAAAACATTCCAATCAACCAAAGCTTTTCACTGGTGTCTTCTGCTATTCCTCTTTACCATAAGGACTGATCAAAGAAGACCTGAGATGCTGTACTAATAATATTAGCATACCTTTTATCAAAATACACTAAACGCTTTTAAAATCTTGCAAATGCTGTTCTGGAGAATATGTCCTGGAAAGATATACAGATATAAAGAAATAAAACCTACAATCATATTCTAAAGCTGGGGGAATCATAATGAGATTCACTTATCCAGCTTACGTATTCAAAGTCATCAGAGTTAGAAAGGGTTCCATGCACATCACACCAAACACAACTTACCCACACTCTATGGGCCAGCATATAAGTTTTGGCACATAGCAGGCAGGACTCCTTACCCTAAGCCAACCCTCACCCTCTTCTTGTTTTTACTTAATTGAATCATGTATGTTATTGATGATAATTCTGAATGACTGAAGGGGGGAAAATCTAATGTAATCGGTAGCATATCATGAATATTTCTAAAAAGTATTTCTCACATATATGATCTGATTTTTTAAAAGACCTAATCCAAGAATTCTTAACCATGATAAAATAAGAGATAACATACATCTTTACCTGTCTTTTCTTTTATAGTATATCACAGATAAAAAAAATTGTGAATTAAAATAATTTCTGAGTTAATTAATGCTGCATATCAGAATCCAAACTGACTTAAAACTGGCATAACTTTAGATAAGTAGTTCTTTACCAGGGGGGGGGGGCACCCCCTAGGGGAGCATCAGTAATTTACAAGGGAAAAGGGAAAAAGCAGAAATTACTCAAATTACATTTGTTATTCTCTTAACAAGAGCATAGTCAAATTATGAGAAATTCAAAAATAATGTCGCTAATTCATACTCAATAAAAAGACAGACTATATTTACATTCTCTTTAAAATTTGGAAAGGAATTTTATTCATAGATGTAAGGGGGCCTGGAGAGAAGTACAGTGTCCTAGAGGAGGCTTGATAGTAAAAAGGTTAAGAACCACTGCTTTTGATGTTCAAAAGTTGCCTTGTTATTCTTGTTTCTTTGTTAAATTTATTAAAAAAAAAAAAGTAAATGAAAGGTACTTGAACCAAGATTCACATGGTTAAAATGGCTGAAGTATATCTTTTTCAAAAGAAGACTTTTAGATGTTTAAACATTGTATTTAGGGACATTCACAAATTGAGCAGTCACTTTAGTTACATTTTTTAGACTAACTTGTTGCAAACATATTATTTAAACTAATATCAACACAAGACATTATCACACACGAACTAAGTCCTTTAGCTGACGTGAATGTAGTTTCTCTTCATACCAAAAAGAAGAGCGTGTTGGTAAGAATTAATTCATCAATAAAAACTGTTCATGTCACAATTTTCTAATTCATGTTAAGAGCAACCATTTACACATGATCATATTCATGTATCATATGCAATTTGTTTAAGTAACAAATAAAGAGAGAGAAAAAAGGAGAAAGATACAGAGAAAAACCTGTGTGGTTACTTGAGCTGACCAGAACAAATGTCTGATTAATGATAATTGACAATGATCAAACATCTGATAAGGAACTGTTTTCTTTGCTTTAATTATCAGATGCAATAACATCTAAACCTCAATATTTCTATATGTGTCTAAACAGTGAATATTACCCTCTGCATTAAGAGTTTTGGAGGATTTCCTGCCCTAATCCATAATAACTATTTTGGTATACATAATTGAATTATCTGGTATCATTCTTTTCTTTAGTTGCCATTACAGATACTCAGTACACAATTACAAATTAGAGAGGTTGAAACTTTATGCTCTCAAGACCAGCTCTTGTTCTAAAAAGGCCTCTATATACTCCAAATGTTCAATAATCTTATGTGTAGCTACAGAATTTACAATTCTATACTAACAATTTGCACATCAACAGAACATGAATACATTGTAAACTTCTCTTTGTTATATACCAAAACCAAATATTTCAGCATTTCTAGAAGCATCCAAAAACTACCAAAACAACCATACATTGACAATTCATCAGGCAGTTTGTATTTGGATAGAAAGTAGCCATATTAACTTTCTTATGTGACTTTCCAAAATCTTGAAAGCCTTTAAAGAAGAATCAGAGAGCTTAAAACTCCCAACATTATGAAACATTATGACATAAACTGTTAGCCAAAAAGTTATCACTATCATAATACTATCATAAAATATTTCACACCAAAACCACAAAGTCCAAACTTTCAATTTGAGAGCAAAGGAGTGTGTTATAAGGCTTGTTGAGGAGTAAAGGCGAGGATAATGAAATGTGATGCAGAAAAAAAAAATGAGGAAAACTGGAAAAAAAAAGCTCATTATTAATAGCAAAGGCATTGGCATAAATTACCTAAATACATGTTAGAGAGAGAAGGAAAAATATAATGTCAATATCTCATCAAAACCTCCAGAGGGTAAGAGACTAGAATTACAAAAAAAAAAAAGAACAGGCATCCATCAACACTGCTTGATCTGACAAGTCTCTTAATTCCTTCTGTGAAAGGCATGGATCAGAAGTTATTAAAGTACATTTTTCAAACATCAATAGACTTTAGTAGTCTTGGCTCGTCATGGGTAGATAATCCAAAGGCTGACATCCTGGTTCAATTATTTCTTATAGCAAGTGCATTGACATCCTGGTCAAATTATTTTTTCCTTTAATCATGTGTATCTTGCAGATTGAACATATTTTTGTTCATTTAAGGCAGTTTTAAAGTTTTCTTTAGTAACAATAGGTTTTAATGATCTTGTAAATTAACTACAGTTAATTTACCATTTCAAGAGAAAATGCAATTGTCTACTTCTTTTGTAGTTTATAATTCTATTTTGGCAACAAAAGTTGAACCATAAATAATTTATAACAAACGAATGCAATGATAGTTGATTGTGATATTTTCAAGAAGGAATAAGTTAAAAGATTTCCCATGTGTAAAATCATGTTGAGGTAGTCTGTATTATAATGACAACAAAGAAACAGCAAGAATAGGCTAATAACCAACCATTGAAGAAACAAAACCAATAAAAATGTAACTTCGTGTTCTGCTCAATCAATAAAAAATGTCTACTGTAACAAACCTATTACTCTATCAATAAATCAAAGCTCAGAGTAATGTTTTGCATAATCTAGCTCTTACATATCATTAAAAGTCAATCTACTTACATTGTAAGGATTACAATAGGGTGAAAAAATATAAATAATAAAAAAAAAGATATTCTTCAGGATACAGGGAGTTCAACAGGTACTGCAAGAGCAAGGATGGTTAATATAACCTTTACAGAGGGTGACAGCCTATGGGAATTACCAGGAACCCCATTCCGCAGCCTTACCACTCAGAACATAAACCGTGTGAGAACGCGGGCTGAAGGATGTGCACTTGTATTCCCCAGCGTGGTACATAAGAGCATTTTTCACTGACAAACGGCTTCCTACGTACCCCTGGGGGGCGGCGACATCCTCCATCGTATACCTGCCATTGTGAGCAGTCATAATGAAAGTAACAAAGTAGATTAAAAACACATAAAAGTCCTTTCCACCTAAGAGCAAACAGGTAATTCCAAAAAAACAATCTTTGTTACATAAGACTATAGGTGCTTATGAGTCATCCATTGAACTAAGCTACTTTAATGATGTTAACATGTTTTCTAAGAGTGGCATTAACTACATCCGAGTTCTACTAACAGCTTCACTCACCAGACAAGTGAAAATCAAAATTATCACCATGGTGTATATTTACTTGATGTAGCTAATTCTACAAAAGAAAATCATATCTACCTCTCAAGACACTGAGAAATAGAGATAATCTCATAAAAAGGAAAGGCAATAAACATACATATCAAGAACACATGCACAAACACAGTAACGTGTACACAAAAATGAAAATGAAAATAGCCACACCGAGAAAAGAAAATAATTGTGACGTTTCAAACTCTTCACAAGGGCCTCTTTAGACAAAACTATTTCGATTATGTCTGAAGAGGCACTTGTGAAGAATTCGAAACGTTACGATTATTTTCAATTCTCATTGTGGCTATTTTCATTTTCATACATATCAAGGTTTATCCTAATTTAAATTGCAGGTAAATATGCAGAAATTAATTACAACTAGCAACTATGTACATGACATGACTGACATCAAGAACACCAACAAATACAATTAGTAATTAGAAATCATATTAAAGAAATCAAGAATAAGGAAAAAAAATCTAAAGTTTGTTCTACAAAGAGCTGTCTACAAAACACTTCTACAGGCCTTACTAGCAAGAATATCTGTACATGAATGAAATGGGTGTAGAAAAAGTACCCTGTACCAAAGGGGACTTTCGGACTGGATAAAATGAATCACGAAAACAATGTCTCTACGGCTATATGTACCGATACATTAGATTTCACTCTCGATCTGTATCATTACAACATTACTGTCACCGTTATCATTTTAGTTAGCCTAGTTGCAGCAAATTTCTAGAGTACTGAGCCACTATCTTTCTAGCAGCCAATGGAACAAGTGTCAGCATAGACGTTGGCCCTTACCCCCCCTCCCCTGATACCACAGGCTTGCCATTGTGGGTCCACTTGAGCTGGCTGAAGAGGGTGAGGTTGCAGAACACTGAAAACTGCTGTCCGCCTTTTACAAAGTGCTGCCCTCTGTATGTAACATAGGGCAACCACGACTCACCTTCCAGCTGGGCATCAGTTCCATGCGCACTGCCAGCACCTGTTCAAAAGGGAGGCAGAGAAAGCTGTGAGTGAGCATGGCTGTGGAGTGTACTTGAACTTGGGAGGAAAAGATGAAATGGAAGGAAAAGAGAGAAAGAGAAAGAGAGAGTGAGAGAATGAAGAGAGAAAGGAAGAAAAAGATAAACTGAAAGTGAGAGTGAGAGAATGAAGAGAGAAAGGAAGAAAAAGATAAACTGAAAGTGAGAGAAAGAGAAAAAGAGGAAATGAGAACGAGGGAAAGTGAAAAAGAATGAGAAGAGAGAGAAGAGAGAGAAGAGAGAAAAGAGAGAGAGAGAGAGAGAGAGAGAGAGAGAGAGAGAGAGAGAGAGAGAGAGAGAGAGAGAGAAGAAACAAGACAATATGTGCAAACTTGCTTATGTGCATGTGCATAAGTGCTCAGTCATGTTTTAGCACTAACACAGTTTATAATAAGCCTTTAATGAAAAAATATCAACTTTACTTTAAAATAAACTTCAATAGGAAAAGCTGCACTTCTTTGATTATCATTTTTATTCTGTTGTGCTTAACTGATGTTTGAACAATAAACTGAACAAAGCAATATTCTTAAAAGAAATCATTATACTTTGGGCAAATAATCAATCAACTTTTAAAACTCAGTGATAAAAGCTACTTAATAACAAGCTTGACAAATTTTACAATAACTCATTCTCAACCAAGATGCTGGGAAGTCGACTGTCTTGTGAGATTTTAGAAATACATTTAGAAATAAGTTTTGTTTTTAATGATATTGCTAATTTTTGAATCATCCTCACCTATTCATTCATGTGCATAATTCAAAAATTATTCAATAAAATGAATAATAGGAATAACAACAATAACGATTAAAACTTTGAGTGCAGTCAAACAAAAATATAACACCATTCACCTAATTCTGTGATAGCAGGTATCCCTAAATTATTATTATTATAATTTTTTTATTTATTAAAACAAAGTAGAAGAAAACTGCTTTTTTAAATGCCCCTTCTCCCATTTCTTATGAAAGGAAGGTGACAAATGCATAAGAATATATCAATCCCAAGAAAATTCACTTATCTTTCCTCTCTTAATGGCCGACCACTAAAATAAAAAAGCAGCATGACCATATGAACGTCTCTGGCTGTAAAAGGGTCAATCCTAGGTTATCAACATACCACAGATATATCATCCACGTATTCCTTCTTGTTTCATGAACTGTGGCACAAACTTTATTGACCTCTTACCTACAGTACTGCATTGTCAAATATAGTATTAAAATGTAAAGGCTTTACGTCTCAGAAAAAAATGAATAAATAAATATGAGTATACACATGTAAAACAAAACATTTATATATATGAATTTGTTTTCAGTTTATGCTTTATTCAGTAAGTGCACATACAATCAAGCACCAAATGACTTATGTAGTAATTTACTATTTCACAAAATTGAAGTTACTTTTAAGGGAAATTCAAATCACATAAAAATCTAAATATCAATAAATTGGAAAGGAAAGAAAAGAAAAAGAAAAGAAAGACAATATACATATATATCTCAAACAGTAAAATCTCTCAAATCTATAAAGATATTTCTGAAATTCTAATCCTTATAATTTAATAAAGAACATATTCCTATACTTAGGCATGCTCAGATTAGGACGCATGGCAAAATGTAAACGTTCCCACAGGATGCTGGAAAATAATGGTGATCTCACTCAGACTTTTTAATCTGTAGATTCCAAAAGTACAATGTGCGTGTGTGTGTGTGTGTGTGTGTGTGTGTGTGTGTGTGTGTGTGTGTGTGTGTTGTGTGGTGTGTTGTGTGTGTGTGTGTGTGTGTGTGAACATGTGTGTATGAACATGTGCGTGTGTGAGCGTGTGCATATGTGTGTGTGCGTGTGTGTGAGAGTGTGCGTGTGTGTGAGCGTGTGCGTGTATGTGAGCATGTGCATGTGTGAGCGTGTGCGTGTGCATATGTGTATGTGTGTGTGTGTTTTTGTGTGTGAGTGAGTGAGTGAGTGAGTGGTGATGAGTGATGAGTGAGTGAGTGAGTGAGTGAGTGAGTGAGTGAGTGAGTGAGTGAGTGAGTGAGTGAGTGAGTGAGTGAGTGAGTGAGTGAGTGAGTGAGTGAGTGAGTGAGTGAGTGAGTGAGTGAGTGAGTGTGTGCACGCGTGTGTGTGTGTGTGTGTACGTGAGTGCATGACAAATGGAATTAGAGAAAAAAAACAGTGGTCATTTAATGCACCAATATGC